TATTCGGTTGAATTGAACTCGTAAACCTTTTGCGGTTTTTTTTTTATTTTATTTTTTTTAATTCAAACCCCAAGTTTGTTTTTCATTTTTTTTTTTTTACACGATAAATTACGTATTATTATTATTATTATTATTATTATTATTATTATTATTATTATTATTATTATTATTATAAAAAAAATTAATCAAAGAATCGAATCGTTATTGATAAAAAAAAAAATTATAATGAATGATTTATGTAACGTTTCAACGTGACTAATAATAATGATATTCATGAGCTAGATATTATTATTATTATTATTATTATTATTGTTATTATTACGGTGAAAATCATAGAAATCGATATTGATCGATTAAATAATTATTCTTCGAATATTGATTGATTCAATCGTATGGAGAGAATTCGATGATGCGTTTCTCGTTTTTTTATTTATTTAATATGAATTTATTATCATTTTTTAAGCAAAAAAATTATTTTTATTAAATAAGACTAAAAAAAAAAAACTTAATTAATTTTAATTAAACATAAATTAATTAATAAATAATTTTACGCCTTCAATTTATTGTATAGTCTACTTATTTTTATTTACGCATTTAAAATTGCATATCAGTCAAAATTTAAATTATTTATTTGAATTCGAGTAATATTACGAGTACGAGAAGAAAAGGTTAATAAAAAGGCTATTATGTAAATAGTTCAAAAAAAAAATTTTTTTTAATAAGTTCAATTAATAATTAATTAATTAGCAAAAAAATAAATAAAATAAAATAAATACAATTTTTTTTAAAGAAATAAATAATTTACGAAAATAATTTTTTAATTTTTTTTTTTGAAATGTATAATATTATTTATTTATTTATATTAATATCGATAAAATTTTTTTTTTTACTTGTTGTTATTATTATTATTATCATTTATAATATTTTGACATTTATTTTTTAAAATTTCGTTCGATAATATATATATATAATACATTAAAAAAAAAAATTTAATAAATAAATATATATATTTATGTATATAAATAATTCTACGTAATATTTAAACTAAAATAAAAAGAATTTTAAATTATTTGTGTTATTAATTTTAATTAATGTACATAATATACATAAATATTATAAAATATTTTTATTTATTAATAACTGATAAGAAGAAGAAGGAAAAAAAATATCAGTCGCGGATAATAATATATATATATTAAATTTTCATTTGTGTTAATTATAAATTATTCCTCCCTTTTCAAAAATTTATCATTATTATTATTATTATTAAATTGTCTTATGTTTTATTAACTTTTTATTAAATAAATTTATTCACGTACGTAATACATAATATATAATAAAATTTACAATAAAATAAAAATTTTTTTTTTTTTTTTGCAGCCTTTATTAAATTAATTATACGACTGAATACGATTTTGAATTTAATAATAATAATGATAATAATAATTAATTATTTACAATACATACGTGATAATAATAATAATAATAATAGTTAATAAATTTATAATAATTAAATAAAATAAATATATTTATACATAAAAAAAACGATGATGAATATGTTTGCATTCGTATAAAAAGAAAAAAAAAGGACGGTTGGCACTTTAAATAAAAAAACACGTCATTGAAACCCCATTTTAATATTTAATTATTATTATTATTATTATTTTATTTACAAAATTGGAAGGAGTGATAAGAGAGAGAGAGACGACATTGTTTATTTAAAAAAAACGTGAATGATAATGAATAATTAAAAATTTTTTTTTGCCAAAAAAAAATTGCATCATTTAAAAAACAATTTAATGCAATTGTTGTTATTATAAACAAATGAAAAAAACTTTTTATTTTTAAATCGACGACGACAACAACAACAACAACAACGATAATTAATATAATAATAATGATAATTATTAATACTGTTAAGAAGATTTTTTTTTTTTGCACAAATTATAAATAAATAAAAAAAAAGAAAAATCAATGACGCGTTTTAATAATTTTTTATTTTTATTAAAATAAATAAATAACCTTTTTTTATGTAAATATTATTTGAAAAATAAAACCGTTAAAAATTTTATTAAATAAGTACATAAATAAATAAATACATTATTTATTTTTTGTTCTAAAAAAAAAAAAAATAAATAAATAAATTACATTAAAAAAATTTTTTGCGCCATTTTTTTTGGCACGTAAATTGACCATTTTTATACGTCATTATTAATAAATTATTAAAATGTGACGAATCAAATAATTTTTTTATTATTTATTTAATTACAAATGATAACAATGATAACAATCATTATTATTATTATTATTCCTAAATGAAAAAAAATATATGAAATTTTTCAATCGAAAATCGTACCGAAAAAAAATATTTCATTTTTTTTTTGTTATAATTATGATGACGTCATTACATTTATTATATAAAAAGGAAAAAACGTTTGCGAATCGTTTAAAAATACGAGATTTAAAAAAAAAAAAACGATAGAATCGAGAGTAAAAATTTATGTATCGATAAAAAGTTGATTAATTAATAAGTTATTTTAAAAATTATTTAATTGATAACACGCACACAAAAAAATTCGTGTTATCAATAAAAATTTATTTATCAATAAAATAAAAATAAAAATTTTGCGATATTTTTGTTACTTTTTTTAAAAATTTTATTTTTACAATGATAACAAATTTAATCGATTCGATCAATCACTTTAAATATCATCATCATTATTATTATCGGTATTACGAGTAATAAAAAAAAAAAATTGTTAATAACATTAATATATATATATATATATATATATATATATATATATATATATATATATATATATATAAATAAATATTTTTCGTCCAAAATATAATATGTTGTTTTGTTTTGATATGATTAATAATAATAATATTAATAATAAAAAATAAGAGATGTATGTATTAAAATTTTTCAATACTTAATCAATTTTATAAATAATAATAATAATAATAATAATAATAATAATAAAATGATATTTAAAAAATGTTTTAAAAGGGATAATAATAAATTATTTAATAATTTTTATAAATATTGTTTATAAAAAAATTTTTTTTTTGGTTTACAATAATTAAGTTTATAAATTGGATTATTTAAAAAAAAAAAAAAAAATCACGCGAGAAAAATATACAATAAATAAATAAATAAATAAATTTTTAGTATTCCCGTGAATGAAAATAGTTTTTTAATTTAAAAAATAATAATAATAATATTTTACAAAAACGTTTTTCTTATGTGAATTCGGTTCGTTAATTATTTTAATAATTAATGTTAAAAAAAAAAAATTTTTTTTTTGTTTATTTATAAGGACGGTAAAATTTTTTTTTGTTTTAAATTTAAAAAAATGGCGCGCGTTTCGATAAACAAAAAAAAAAGTAAACAATTTTATAATTATTTTTAAAAAATCGAAAAAGGAAAAAATTAAAAAAAACAAACGAAAAAGGTAGTAAAGAAAGAAAGAAAAACGAACAAACATTATTTGAAGTTATCATTTTTTTTAATCGTAAATAGAGACTTTATCATTATAATTAACATACATTTAATACGTTCTTTTTAAAATCATAATTTAGCAAATATTTATATATATAAATACATGTATATAAGTATTCACAATTTTAATTTTTATTGGAAAAGCGATCGCGAGATTTTTCTGATCCTAAACGATTTGTCTTTGTAACAAACAAAATCGTTTGTTTGTAATTAAATTATTATTATTATTATTATTAAAAAATGTATTATAATGTGAATTTTCGCATTTATCGGGTCGTATAAAAAACTTTTTTTATGGTCTAAGCTACTGACCGACAAAGCCTACAACAAGTAAAATTGGTCGATTTTAGTTTCTTGTAACTAACGACTAACCTCTGACTAATTAGACTTGGATAATAAATAAATTTTTTTGGGAGCCTTTCCGGTTCCTCATTTATTTCGGAAAATTTATCCGCTTTTCGTGAGAGGTTCTTTGTTTTCGAAATATTTGTGATATGCATTCGAAAAATGAATTTTTTTTTTTTTGTACATTCAATAATTTCCCATCGGAAAAGTTAAAAAGAAAATTTAAGTTTGATTTTCTTTATTATCAGCGATGGGTGATAACGTAGAATGAACACTCGGAGATTCCGTCGTTGATTTTTGTCCTCCTAATGGTTCTAATGTCGCACCTCCTCCCATTAAAACATCGATCGTGTTTAACGATTCCACCGGACTTTTCGATCTGTTATCGGTTGTTGTTGCTCCATCGGAACATTCGTCGACAAACATGACGTCAGAGGAACAATAAAGTTGTTTAACGTTTAAATGCCTTTGATTGACTTCGTTCAACGATATTCCATCCATATTTCCCCCCTGCGTTCCTTCCGTATTTCTATCGTTTAAACCTACGTTTGTATCTTTTACTGTAAACATCAATCATTATTATTATTATTTAATTACTTCGAATTTTATAAACAAAAACGAATGAATGAATGAATGAACACAATTAAAATTATTTATTTGATTAATAAAACACGAAACGCCAAAAAAAATTTTTTTTTTGTAAAATTCTTTTGTTTTAATTTCTAGTTTTTTTGTTTTTTTTTTACGATGCGGTTATTTACAAAAGTGAATGAATGAATGAAAAAGTTTCTATTGTTTAATTATTATTATTATTATTAACGCTTTGAATTTTTAGTCTATTACATCATTTTGCAAAACAAAAAACAATAGGAAAATTTAAAAAAAAAAAAAAATGAATCAGGTTTAATTTTATTTGTCATCATCGTTAGTAATCTCAACTATTATTATTATTATTATTATTATTAATTTTTTTCCTAGATTTGATTTATCGATCTACAAAGTCCACGCACACACTCACACACCCAAAAAAAAAAAAAATTTCAAATGATTAATTTAAAGGAATTTTTTTTTTGACTAACCTTCTACTTGGGTAAAACTACTGGCTTTTATATCTTTATCGTATTTTTTAGTACTACTTCCGCTATGTCTTTTTTTTTTAATTTTCGAATGAAGCAAGACACATCTAGTAGCGGTTATAATAAGGCCTAATACTTCCAAAAAACACCCTACGGCAATTAGGTAATATCTATGCCCTGGAGCATCTGCACCCGGTTTCAATTGAACCAAACCAACTATAAGGATAACTGCTCCTAACAACAGCGATACTACAGCTAAATAAAGAGCGGAAACCTGGAAAATAAAAATTCAATTATTCTAAAGTAAATTTATTAATAATAAAAAAAAAAAAACGATGATAATGATGATTTATAAATATTAATAAAAAAACAAACAGAAAAAAAAACGCTAAAAGTTTATTATTGTTATTTTTTTTTCGTTTGTTTATTGCCATTGCGCGATTCATCGATTGTATTTTTCCGGTTGAAAATTTTTAAACATTTCCGATAATAAAAAAAACGTAAAAAGATTATAGCTTTCCTACGATCTAAATAATATAAACGGTTCTAATTAAATTTCGTCATGCTATAATTTTTATTTAACGAAAAAATTAAAAATTTTTAAAATTCTTACTCTTCCGCAAACGTAAACTTCCGGTAACCTTTGATCCTCTTCTAATCTCGGGGGGGAAAGAAGAGGACTCGGTGATGGTGAATTTGCTCTGCTCGGTGATGTCGTCTGCTGTCGAAAATGTGGATAACCGCTTAAATACAATTGACTCGGTCTTTTCATTCTTTGTTCTGCTTTTCGTCGTTCCAATCGAACGGCCACGGCTGGCATAGCACCCATCATGTTGATGGTTGTTTCCGCTCCTGTAAAATTTTTTTTTTTTTAAATTTATTCCTCCATATCACTTTTAACAAAACAATAACAAACCCCGCCCCCTTCCTCTCCCCTCCTCCTAATCCTCCTTATTATTATTATTAATTCGTTTGTAAATTTTAAATGATTTACCTTAAATTTTAAATTTACAACTTGTCAGCAGAGAAAAACCCGCGAAATTTAAATCGTCAGTATTATTATTATTATTATTTTTTAAAATGAGATAATAACTTTAAATACTTCTCGTTTTGACGAGAAAAAAAAAAAAGAAAATTAATAGAGCGTACAAAAAAAAAAAAATTTAAAATCGAGGAAGGAAAAACACAAACTGTTTGCTGTTGGTCACATGTAAGAAACTTTTGTTCAAATTTTTTTTTTTTTTTTTGGCCAAATGCCTCGCGTTTCAATTTAGTGAAATTGGATATAAAAAAAAAAAAAAAAAACCGGCTGTTAAATTAATTGAATTTTTTTTTTTTTTGTTACAAAATAGTTTAAAAGATGAGAAATTTGACAGGCTTTCAAATGTGATTAAAAATTCTCCTTTTTTTTTTCTTTTTTGACCTCAATGACGTTTTTGACCCTGGTCCGATTATTATAAATTTAAATTTTATGTAAAAAAACTATTTATTTATTTATTTACATATTATTATTATTATTATTTGTCAAAGCGTGACGTACGTAAAAACGAAAAATTATAATTAATGGAATTTAATAATAATAAAAACGTGAAAACTGTTAATTTTTTTTCTTAAATTTTGACGTCACTTCCGGTTAAATTTTTTTCTTATTTAATTTACGAAATAATGTCACGTGCATTCATATAATAATAATAATAATAATAATAATAATCAATTAAAAATGTAAAAATAAGAAAAGGAAAAGAAAGGAAAGGGAATAGGAAAAAATTTTCTTTCGGTTTCCTAATTTTTTTTTTTTTTTACGTAATTATTATTATTATTATTACTAATAATTAATAAAAAAAATTTATTACGTAATTTTTTATTTGTTTATTTATTTATTAAAATATTACAGCGTAAAAAAATTAAAACAAAAACAAACAAAACAAACAAACAAAGTCAACCGTGAAGTCGAGAAAAGGAAAGAAAAATTTTATAATAATAATAATATAAAAAAATTAATAATATCGTTTTTAATTATAAATTTATTAATATTAATAATAATAATAAAAGTTTTCATTCATTATTTATAAGTAATATTATTAATAAGTAC